ATTACTCACCCTCTCTCGGACACACGCACTTAGAAACATAAAGCACATGGACGTGGATACAACTACCACACACTGCTAGCACATCTCACACACCTGCTGATACTGTGCCACTGCCGATGGTTGGGAAGTAATCCTCCATGACCCCACTGTCCACCTCTCTGCGTTGTGAATGTGCGCGCGCACGTGTGTGTGTGTGTGTATGTGTAGGTAAGGTGTGTATGGTACCGCTGGCGTGTGTGCGTGTGTGAGCACCGTCGTGTGTTCCCCTGTGGAAGGGTATCCCTGTGTCTAAGGCGGACTCTGCCGCACTGTTGTCTGTGTCCGATGAGATGACCACCACTCTCGACCGGTAAGTGCCCGACTCACGACCACTCCCTATGCCGTGCCTGCTGCTATGTCGGTTGTGTTTATCGTTGCCGCTGTTTGGCTCATTATTACTAATACTGTCTCCATACGTGTTACTGTTAATACTACCTCTGCCCATGCTGTTCACCCCGGCTGACGACCGGAGCGCGTGATTCTCATCACTACTGATCCCACCGCCGATACTATCATCACTGTACCAATGACTACGACCACGCGCATCCCCACAGTCACTATCATCCGACACTCGCCCTGTACCAACCCCACTAACCTCACCCTTATCCCGGGAATGCTCTCCATTGCCATGATGATATGTCTCATGCATGCCTCGTCTCCTGTGACTCTCAGATGTTTTCTGCCGCCTGCGGTTGTGTGTGCTATGGATCTGACCCGTGTCATTACTTCGGGGTCCTGTGTAACTCACACCTGACAGCCTATCTGGCAGAGAATGTGGTTGCTGTCTCCTCTTCTTCCTTCTTAGTATGTGAGCGTGGGCGTGGGCGTGCCCATGCCTTTGTTTTCCACTCTCTTTCTCTCTTTCTACGTGTGCGTTTGCGTGTGCATGTGTGTGTGTGTGTGTGCGTGTTTGCTGCGGATGGCTAGGCTCACCAGAACCGCTCCGGCCCTCTGCCCGGCCGCGACTCCTCCTCCCACCCCCACTCGTCGTCCCCCGCGCACTATGCTGATCAGGCCCACTCCTGCTTAATTGTCCACTACCGCCATCACTCCCACTAGACGAATAGTCCCCCAGCAGTTGGTGGTGCGCGTTCAGTCGTGACCCGGCTGTCTGTCTCATAGACGCCTGGTGTTGCCCTTCGGCAGTTGAGTGGTTACGCCCGCGGGTGTCGTACGCGTCGTGTGCATCGTATGGTCTGTCGGTCGTCTTCTCGCTGTTGAGTGAGATGTTGTAGTTGTAGTTGTAATTCCGGCTTGCCACCGTCTTTGCCCGGTGTTTGCTTCTAGACCCAGTCACGCCGTGGTTGCGGTTGATGTGTTGTCGATTGACTACACACACAGCCCCTTCTGAGCTATCCCCACTGTCTCTGTGTAGGGCTCCTGTGTGCGTGTCTGCGTCCTCACGGTGTGGAAGTGATCCGGAGTGCCGAGTGTGCGTGTGCGTGCCCGAGTGTACACTGTTTGCGCCTGCGTCTGAGTCTGCGCCATCCACGTGCACTCGCAGAGGGTTGATGTGCTGCTGATGAGATGGGGGAGTGACAATTCGCCGGGAATAAGCTTATACTGGAGTGGTGGATAAGATCATTCTGGAGTGGTAAGACGGGATACGATTATACTGGAGTGGTAAGACAGGATAAGATTATACTGGAGTGGTAAGACGAGATAAGCTTATACTGGAGTGGCAAGACGAGATAAGCTTGTACTGGAGTGGTAAGACAGGATAAGATTATACTGGAGTGGTAAGACGAGATAAGCTTATACTGGAGTGGGAAGACAGGATAAGATTATACTGGAGTGGTAAGACGGGATAAGCTTATACTGGAGTGGAAAGACGGGATAAGATTATACTGAAGCGGTTTTACTGAATAATTGGGAAGGGGTGATAGCTCAATATCAGGTCACGAGACCGAATGAACACATATTGTAGCTGAAGATGTCTTATCTTTGTTTCAGAGCCTGAAAGATGAACAATATCAGTGCAATGCTACACACCTCAGGTTGCCCTCCCGTGGCCTGTGTGTGAAGATAGTGAGCATGAAAAATATAAAGGTTTACAACAGGTAGACCGAGGGCTACAAGCACAGCGCAACAAGGATGTCGTTCAGCAGCCGACCTTGGCGTTTAAAAAAGACCCATACTGCACAGAGAAATGCAGTGTCATAGTAATAACACCAACAGAAGAAGCTGTTAACTCAACTCAACGTACACCCTACACCTGACCTGAACATAGCATTAGCATTAGCATAGCATAGCATTCCCAAACCCTACCTCAGACCTACTGACACCCATCAACACATCATCGTCGTCAGAGAATGAGTCAAATCCATCCATTCTGGGGGCGTGCAGTTGCACATTGGGGCTGCGAGTGGTCAGGGCATGGGCTGCGCCAGCCATTGGGTCGGCGTCACTCAGTGCTTCATCCGAGAGATCGTTTGTCACTGCGAATCTGTGTCAGATTGGTAATAGAGCGTAAGGATAGACGGACAAGAGGTGTAATATGCAGCGGTGGATTTTGGTTGGGAGGAATGTATATGAGCATTTCGGTCACTATACTCCAGTGCAAAGAAATTTGCACACACACACACACAAACACACACACACACACACACACACACACATATATATATAGGTATATACAAACAAAGAGACACACACACAAATACAACTTCAGGTATATATATATATATATATATAATAATATATATATATAATATATATATATATATATAAATATAAATATATATATAAATATAAATATATATATATATATATATATACATATATACATATATATATTGTCACTGTTTATATAACACACCTGTCACTGTCACTGCTGTCTGTGAGGTCGGCATTCCTTTCGTCGTCCAGTTCATCTGTGAGACCTTCCTCTTCTGATTCACTGGTCACGTCCACACCATCAGCGCTCTTCATCTGAGCTCGTCTGTTAATTACGTTGGTCCAGAGAGGACGGTGGCATTTATAAGTACAAAAACGTATGAAGCTATCTACGTGTGTTCATGTACATATATGTATGTGTGTGTATCCGATATATAGATATCTCTCTACGTATATATATATATATATATATATATTACTATGTGTATTCATATATACCTCAATGTACGCTGTGAAGAAAGCATTCGAGTGTCATACCAATACACTCAAAACAACAGCACATACTAAAACTCCACACCACCAGCTCTCTGTAACCTCTACCCGCGCCCGGTGAGTGCATTGGTGGAAAAAGGACAGTGACGGGCAGCGAGAGTGTGAAGATATATTCAAGTGATGTGTCATACGTGCATGTAACAGCTTAGTCAAACAGGACATTTGAGTGGTGGTATTCCGGCCAGAACTCCCATGTAGTAGCACTCAGTAAGAACGAACAGCCCTAATCGTATTCATATGGCGAGGTTTTAACCCACAGATGCGTAGTATGGATATGAGCTCTGACATATGAACTTGAAATAGACCTGTCTACATAACGTCTAACAGGCACACACACAACGTCTCGCATGTACACAGTCTACACAGTCTACGTACTACAGTGGGGAGGTTCGTGATTACGGCCGCACATACACTGTAGTGCACACCCATTCGAACACACCCCACAGAGGGCAGCCAGGCACCTACTCAGGCACACACCGACTCAGCTGACCAACACATGCCCCTACAGACACATCTCACATGTCATCAACTGCTATGCAGAATGTAAGTGACACCACAGCCACGCGCATGCTTTGATCCCACACAAAGCCACGCGCATGCTTTGATCCCACACACAGCCACGCGCATGCTTTGATCCCGCACACAGCCACGCGTATGCTTTGATCACACACACAGCCACACATACGCTGTGTACTAATCCTCAATTCGTTCGTTCGTTCCCGTCCAGGAAATGCTACACACAACACAACAAAATCTCCACAGCAGCAAATAATAATCAAGGTACTCCCCCACACATCCCACACATACTTTGTGTATTGTTCTTCAATCCGTTCCTTCATATCCAGGAAGTGTGCCGTGCCCCGTTTCGGGGCTCGGAGGGCTTGTGCGGTTTCCATGGGCAACGGGATGTCCTGCACCATTTTCTCGGGTGATTCGGGCCTAATGACCTCGATTGTATCCAGGCGCAAGCCTTCGGCTGTCATGGCTTCTTCAAGCACTTGTTTGCACCCGTCAATGGCCACATCCTGGGCAGTGTAAGGGATGGTGTGTAGCATGAGACGTATCAGATGTGTCGGATCATCTTCAGTATGTGCACTAGTTGGTGTGTAGCATGAGACGTATCAGATGTATGGGATCATCTCCAGTATGTGCAGGTGTGGGAGGATAGTGGCGGCAACTGGAATCAGCAATCGAAAGATGCAGGCACGATATAGGGTATGCAGGTAAGCAGGCGGATAGGTTGCTAAGGTTTAGGGTTTTTGGGTTTTATAAAACCCAGGGTAGGTAGATGAACAGATAAGGCACAAGCGCGACGGTAGACGTTCAGATGCATGCATACGTTCCCACATGAGTCTTGTGTCCTAGCTTTATCTGCATTTGCACACCACGAAAAAACATGTTATAGCCGGAAACACGGGTAGGCTCACGCTCATCCCCTATTCAACCGAATAAGCGATCAAGCTGCGGTTCAACAAAAGCCGTACACGCTCATCACCTATTCAACCGAATAAGCTATCAAGCTGCGGTTCAACAAAAGCCGTACACGCTCATCACCTATTCAATCGAATAAGCTATCAAGCTACGGTTCAACAAAAGCCGTACACGCTCATCACCTATTCAACCGAATAAGCTATCAAGCTGCGGTTCAACAAAAGCCGTACACGCTCATCACATATTCAACCGAATAAGCTATCAAGCTGCGGTTCAACAAAAGTCGTACACGTTTACCAGTGGTCGCTGCTTCTTCCGGTCCAAGTGTTCTAGACTTCTGGTTGCACCGGCATCCAGCAATAGCCGAACGCATTCGTCGTACTGGTGCGTTTGCAGACAAAACGTTTCATGAATCAATGGGTGTGGCAGATACTACAGATGATAGATAATCCTCCTCGAGCTGTGTTAGTGTAATGTCTATTGGGGGTGGAGATATGATATATACTGGGATATAGGTGGTAGATAATTTAGATCTGTGTCAGTGTCATGTCTACTGGGGGTGGAGATATCATATATACTGGGATATAGGTGGTAGATAATATAGATCTGTGTCAGTGTCATGTCTACTGGGGGTGGAGATATCATATATACTGGGATATAGGTGGTAGATAATATAGATCTGTGTCGATGTAATGTCTACTGGGGGTGAAGATATCATATATACTGGGATATAGGAGGTAGATAATATAGATCTGTGTCAGTGTAATGTCTACTGGGGGTGGAGATACCATATATACTGGGATATGGGTGGTAGATAATATAGATCTGTGTTAGTGTAATGTCTACTGGGGGTGGAGATATCATATATACTGGGATATAGGTGGTAGATAATGTGGGCGGGTAAGATGTAAAAAGTGCATCAGCAGCGCTCTGCCAAGCAGGAACGGGGATTCTGTGCAAATGCCTCTCACACACAAAAGCATGTAGGTACGAAAAAGCATGCAACCACGACTAACAACCAGGGTTCAATACACTTGATGGATTGTACATGGTAGGCTACGGTTATATATATCGAGTACTACTTGATAACTTATATATTGAATACTACTTGAAAATTTATATATTGAATACTACTTGATATACACTCAGTTCATATAAAAGTGCAACTGTGCGGCCAAACGTGTGGTAGTTGCCTGTGCATAATAGGGGTGCCTCATCACCGTATTCTGTATGGGAATGGTCGGTACATTACGTGTACATACATACATACATACTCTGTACATTTCGTGTACATACATACATACATACTTTATACATACATACATACATACTTTATACATACATACATACATACATATACATACATATATATATATATATATATATATACATACATATATACTTACACAACACACACACACACACACACACACACACACACACATATATATATATATATATATATATACATATATATATATATTTATATATATATATATAGATAGCATCAGATGACTCAATGTATCTTATGGTCATCGTGATGTGCTTGCATATCATACAACGCTTTCTGAGCCCATGCATGTACCACAGGATATGCACAGGCAAATACACCGTCGATTGGAAAGAAAAGTGAAAAGTCGTCTCAAAGGCTTTGCCGAGTTTGTCGCAACATGCATGGTCCCCTATCACAGTCACACAGCGTTTAGAGGGTCTTCTCACGAATGTCAAATGATTTGTATCACACATAGACAGACAGACCAATGAACAAAAACAGACAGAGAAAACAATCAACACACATAGGCGCAGAGACCAATGGGCACACACGCACAGAGAAGACACAGACACAGACACAGATGAACACACATGCACAAAGAAGACAAATATAAAAATCAACACAACAATCAACACACACAGACACAGAGATAAATGAACACATGCACAGAAGAGATAAAGATAAAAATCAACACACAACACAACACACACAGACACGAGATAAATGAACACACATGCACAGAGAAGACACAGACAACAACCAACATACACAGACACAGAGACAGATGAACACACATGCACAAAGAAGACAAAGATAAAAATCAACTCACAACACACACAGACACAGAGATAAATGAACACATATGCACAGAAGAGATAAAGATAAAAATCAACACACAACACTACAGACACAGACACGAGATAAATGAACACACATGCTCAGAGAAGACACAGACAACAACCAGCACACAGACACATAGACAAATGAGCACACATGCACAAAGAAGACACAGACAACAATTAACATACGTAGACACAGAGACAAATGGACACACACACAACAATCAACACACGTAGGCACAGAGATCAGTACCCCGTTCATGGCAGCGTCGTGCAACGGCGTCACGCCCTCGTTGTTTGGAGCGTTGACTGCGGCCAACGTACAGCTGGTTGTAGGTTGTAGGTTGTAGGGTTTAAGGGGGTAGGAACCGAGTTTAAGTGAGTGGTTGATATATCAGACACGTGTAGGATTGTGTCATACGAGTGTAAGTTTGAGTCACATGTGCGTGGGATTGTGTCGTATGGGTGAAAGTTTGTGTCAGTCGTTAGAATCGTATTATGGAGTTTGGAGTGGTAGTAGAGTGCGGGTATCAAATAGATACTGTACACGGTTGAGTGTGGTGGTTGTGGTGGTTGACACTCTCTCCATCTGCCCACACACATCTATGCACAGAATTCCCCCCCCATAACCTACGCTACACACATATACACAAATACACACAGACCGGTACCGTCTGCCGGGACCCACAAACCGAGTGCAAAAGACACCCCCTACACTCTCCTGTAGACGTCTAAGCATCATGCACAACGGCACTACCTACAATCTCCTGTAGACGTCTAAGCATCATGCACAAACACACTACCTACACTCTCCTGTAGACGTCTCAGCATCATGCACATACCCAGGCGTCTCCAGCAACAAGCTCAAACACACTACCTGCACTCTCCTGTAGACGGCTAAGCATCATGCACATACCCAGGCGTCTCCAGCAACAAGCTCAGTATCTCCACATGGCCGTGGTTCGCTGCCTCGTGAATGGGAGTCCAGCCCATGAAGTCGTACGTCACAACCTTCGCTCCCCAACCCAACTGCTGCACCACCTTGGCCCTGTCTCCACTGATGACGGCCGAGTGTAGCGCGGTCTGTGCGTGTTGGTTGAGGTGTGCTAGGATTATATATGTGTACGTATACGGTTGTAAGGTGCGTGTTCGTTGAGGTATGCTAGGATTATATATGTGTACGGATACGGTTGTAAGGTGCGTATTGGTTAAAGTGTGCTGGGATTATATATGTGTACGGATACAGTTACAAGCATGTATTTGATAAACGTCGGCATTGGACTTTGGACACATGCTCATATCTGCACACAACCTGCTCTAGCAACCGGGGATGGTACAAACTCAAGAACACAAGCCCCACCCACCAGAGAATGTATATCTCGCACGTGACCAAGTATATTTCAAACACAGACATATTAGGAATACACCTGTCTCCTAATAGAAATTGCGCACTGAAATTGAACGGATACTTAGATGCATTCAAATAGAAATTGAGAAATTTAACGGATACTTAGATGCATTCTAATAGAAATTGAGAACTTTAACGGATACTTAGATGCATTCCAATAGAAAGTGAGGACTTAAACGGATATTTAGATGCATTCCAATATAAATTGAGGACTTTAACGGATACTTAGATGTATTCCAATATAAATTGAGGACTTTAAACGGATACTTAGATGCATTCCAATAGAAATTGAGGACTTTAAACGGATACTTAGATGCTTTCCAGTAGAAAGTGAGGACTTAAACGGATTTTTAGATGCATTCCAATGAAATTGAGAAATTTAACAGATATTTAGATGCATTCCAATAGAAATTGAGGACTTTAAACGGATACTTAGAATGCATTCCAATAGAAATTGAGGACTTTAAACGGATACTTAGATGCTTTCCAGTAGAAATTGAGGACTTTAACGGATACTTAGATGCATTTCCAATAAAAATTGAGAACTTTAAACGGATACTTAGATGCATTCCAGTAGAAATTGAGGATTTTAACGGATACTTAGATGCCAGGTACCTACCTCGCCCTTGTCATTGCGTTTGTTGACTCTGTTGATGAGCGCTCTCTCTCTCGCGGCCGTTTGGCGTGCCTCCTATTATGTACAGAGCACACCGACACTATAAGTGATAATACTATGTATTGCTCTGATATTATAATTAGTCCATAGAATACTAATACTATGAATTGCTCTGATATTATAATTAATTCATAGAATACTAATACTATGAATTGCTCTGATATTATAACTAGTTCATAGATTATTAATACTATGGATTGTACACGCAACGTACCACGTGCTCATAGAACACACCACTCATTCATAGATTACATGGTTCATTGGCAATGCACATGCTTTATACAACGAACACACTACCAGATACAGTTAACGCATCCAACACACTACTACTACCACTGCTATCGAGCACTGATAGTACTGTCTATCAATCGCACACACTTCTATGGCTATGTGTGCTGATAAGCCTACTATGAATAACCTAACACACAGTACCTTGATCTTCTCACTGACTTCATCGCCGCCCATACTTTCGTCTGGATCCGAGTCTTCGGCAATTGATTCAAAGCCCTGTGAGGCGGTACATGCAATGGGACAGTGCGTGTCAACTGATGGCGTAGAGACTGAGAGTGATGAGTGAGAGAGAGTGAGTGAGAGAGTGAGAGGAGAGAGTGTTGTGTGATACATGCAATGGGACAGTGAGTGTCAACTGACGGCGTAGAGAGTGAGTGAGAGAGTGAGTGGTAATGGTGTGTGGCCAGATGCTTACGATTGTTTGACAATCAAAGACTGACGTTTTGAGGGAGATAAACGGAACTTTGGGAACGACGAGACGCTAAGCTTCTAGTGCAATTGATCACTGTCTGAGAGCACTAACGCGTCTATTTCACGACGTACACGAACAGAACCACAGCAAACAGGATGCATATGTGGTTGTCTGTATAGGATCCCATACATCAACATATAGGCTATAGCGTGATGTACACGAACAGAACCACAGCAAACGGGATGGATATGTGGTTGTCCGTATAGGATCCCACGCATCAACATATAGGCTATAGCGTGATTCGTTAGGATCCCATACATCAACATATAGGCTATAGCGTGATTCGTTAAGATCCCATACATCAACATATAGGCTATAGCGTGATTCGTTAGGATCCCATACATCAACATATAGGCTATAGCGTGATGCGGAAGGATCCCATACATCAACATATAGGCTATAGCGTGATGCGGAAGGGTCACCTACGTTTATTTCATTGCTCGCTGTATCGAACATCGGATCCTCCATCTCCTCCTACAGTACACAGCAGTGTCGGGTATGGAGATAAAAATAGAATCAGACGCAAGGATTGGTTTGTAAGCTATGGCGCATGTGTGGTCGCAAACTTCTACTATAGGTGAGCGCCACACGACATAACAAATCGAAATATTGGCCAGCCACCCCGAAAAAAGGGCCAGAAAACTAAAAAAAACAGGGGGCCAAATTAGGATTACAAACAAAACCCCCAATAAACAAGTAGAGTGACTAGCACCATCAACGACACTTGGCTTGCTGTGCCATGGTGTATAAACCAAGTTTACCGATTGGACACACAAGCCGATATGGCAGCACGACTTCTCTCTCACAGACTGCGAGGCAAAGTGAGATATGCACAGATACAGCTACCAGTACGCCAAAGACACTGCAAGGTCGGCCATTAATGGGGCCTTTATATCTTTGTTCGAGTGCTTTGCGGCGGTCTATATCTCCATTCGCATCTGATATGGCTACCAACACGTACATGTCGCACGTGTATCTACTATCTGTCGGGTTCATGTCGCGCGTATGGGGTGGACGTACTGATGATTGTGTTGTGCGTATCATGTGCACGTTTACATCACACAAGCCATCCACTACACATGCTGAGTCGTTCTGTAGGTAATAAGGCCTTGAGGATGCTGCCAACGCCATGCACAGTTTATACGGACAAGTTCATAGGTGCGTAGAGATACTCCAGAATAGCACTGTTTGAATATGTAAATAAATAATTATGTAGTTATAGGCTCACAATCGATCTCCCATTTACTTTCGTACGATAACACTTCCTGGACTTGCCTGTTCTTTCCACCCAGCAATCATCTATGCATACCACACACATGTAGAAATGATGTATACGGATACATACCGCCAGTTGCAACTGTCTGTGCAAAATGTGCACATACAATCCTGCACAACCGGACCTCATGCACTAACATGTCAAACCATAAGCACATAGACACACAACATAAACCACGCATGCAATGTACCACACCCGAACTATGTCTATCACAGCCAGACGGCGCACCCACCTCGATATCGTACTCCTTTGCCAGCTCCATAGCACGCTGCCTGGACTGGGCAATCTTCTCCAGAGACAATTGCGACGAGTGTGTGGGATCATTCTGTGACACCGAAGATACAGTACATGAGACCACGTGGTGGCTGAGATGTATTTAAAGATACAGTACATGAGATTACGTGGTGGCTGAGATGCGTTTAAAGATACAGTACATGAGACCACGTGGTGGCTGAGATGCGTTTAAAGATACAGTACATGAGACCACGTGGTGGCTGAGATGCGTTTAAAGATACAGTACATGAGACCACGTGGTGGCTGAGAGGCGGTGAGGTGTGTTGCGATGCATTTGTTGGACCGTTGTGTGGTGCAAAGGATATATTATAAGAGGCCAATTCGCGGATCATGTTCTCAGTCGGCAACAACCAGGCACTTATCTCCTAGGGTTCTAGGGTTTAGGGGGGTTCATCCACATAGGGGTACCTTCTCCTCCATAATACAAATAACGATATTTATGTTTCAACTGTCCCACATATTTGGCACTTTTCCCCCGATTTCCCACACACAAGGATTTCTCTCCTGATTTTCAACTGAGCCTGACAGTCTGTTGTTGCACCGATCCGTACTGTCTGCCACATAATACTCCACTGCCACTCACGCCTAGTAGTATGACAGGCTCATACGCAAGAAATAAACGGGGTTTAAGGTTTAGGGTTTAGGGTCGGTGGTTTAGGGTTTGGGGTTTAGAGGTTAGGCTGTACTGAACCCTGATCGCATTCTCATCTGAATGCGAGAGCACGACAGTCCACCGTGGGATGTGCGCAAGTGAAGTACGCAAGTGTAGGACCATTCACATGTTGAAGGAGCGTTATATATATATATATATAAATATATATACGCAAGCGAAGGTCCACTTACATGTTGAAGGAGCGTTGCTTCAAACAGATACACGGACGCCTCCGCCGGCCGTCCCTTCTGCAGCGCTTTGTTTTTTTGCAGCAGCATGAGCCCCTCCACATATTGCTGCAGCGTGTCAATATATATATAAATATTAATATTAACAAAATACGAGTGACAGCATAAAGTCCAAAGAAGTGCAGAAACACTCACGTGACACAACGTACCGTGAGTACTTGGCTATTCACAGCGATCCAACAGTGCTCACACGTTCACGTGACAGTGAATTAAACCCCCTCACACGTTCACGTTGCAATGAATCAAATCCACTCACACGTTCATGTTCCAACGTATACTACCCCCTCACACGTTCACGTACGCACCTCCAATTCGCAGTGAGTCATGATAGCACTCGTGTACATATCGTGCAGATGCGACAGGCGCTCGTCTTCTGACAGCCATTTGGAGTCCATTGCCTTCAGCAGCGCAATGGCTGCGCTGTAGTGCTCCAGAGCGATTTCCTTGTGTTCGTCATCGTCCATGCTAGCCAGCATGTCACCGTACCTACACAGCAATGAGACGGCAGAGGAAGTGGAGAGAGTGGTGTCAGATGGGGGGTGTGACATGTTGCATGTACCTACACAGCAATAAGATGGCACAGGAAGTGGAGAGAGTGGTGTCAGATGGGGGGGTGTGACATGTTGCATGCACCTACACAGCAATAAGATGGTTGCGGAAGTGGAGAGAGTGGTGTCAGATGGGGGGTGTGACATGTTGCATGTACCTACACACCAATGATATGGCAGAGGAAGCGGAGAAACTGGTGTTAGATGGGGAGTGTGACATGTTGCTTGTCACTTTGCATGTATGTTTGTCCTTCTCTGTTGTACTTGTGCACTGACAGCCATCACTCCTACGAACCGCGCAAACCAATGTGCCGTACCTGAATACCACAGCCACGCCACACACATACTACATACACTCTGTGACCGGATACCATCATCACTGTAGTAACAGCCGTACGCAATGAGACCTATGTAACTGTGCTCCACCCAACTTGTTTGTTTAACGCTTGAAATCACGACATTCCAATATCACTTATACTACAACCATACCAGCCGCACACGATGGGCCTAGGACCATAGTACCGAACTTTGGAGTATATATGTTATGAACACATATAATATACGCTCACGGTGCTTCTAAGGCATGCGTCTCTAAGGGTGTGTGTTATGGGGGTGGCCCGTCGCTTACATGCACACAGTACTAGAACGAAGATCCATAGTACCGAACGTTGGAGTATAAAAGTTATGAACACATGAAGTATACGCTCACGGTGCTTCTAAGGCATGCGTCTCTAAGGGTATGTGGTATGGGAGTGGCCCGTCGATTACATGCACACAGTACTAGAACAAAGATCAGGGAAGACAAGCACACGAAGGAACATGGACAGTGTACTAGCAAACACACAAAATCGCAATTTCACAGAGATGTGTACTGCACACTTGTAGAGAGCACTTATAACTAACCCTAACCCTAAAACCCTAAAATATATAGAAAGGAGCACAAGTCTACCGGCAGAAGTGAACACAGGTATACATACGACATCTCGCAGAGTGGTATATGTGATATAATGGTAGTTACGATGCGGTTGTACAGATGAGATCGTACAACAACACATGCACACATCACACGCACAGACAGCTATCAAACGCACTCTCCGCAATGAGGCCCATTGGCACTACAGCACAAATATACACAGGCATGTACACTCACACACTCACAGACAGCTATCAAACACACTCTATACAATGAGACCCAATAGCACTACAGCACAAATATACACAGACTCGCACACTAGCACACTCACAGACAGCTATCAAACACACTCTATACAAGGAGACCCATTAGCACTACAACCCAACAACACACTGACATGCATACCGCAAAATCACAGACAGCTAAAAAGCACACTCTACACAATGAAACCCATTAGCACTATAATACACAATGAAAACAATACACAGACATGCACACAGCACACTCACATACAGTCAGCAAACACACTCTACACAATGAAACCCATTAGCACTATAATACACAATGAAAACAATACACAGACATGCACACAGCACACTCACATACAGTCAGCAATCACACTCTACACCATGAGACCCATTAGCACTAAAACACAACAACACACAGACATTCACACAGCCCTCCCACAAAGAGTTGCGTGCCATACCGTTCGTGGGTTTTGAACAGCAACAGAGTGTCTTCAGGGTCAATGCTCTGGAGCTGTGTGTTGAAGGTGGCTATCTTATCATCCGCTCGCAATCGGCGATACAACTGCAGCGCACGCACCTCTTCGTTGGTCCCCTGCGACAGGGGGTGGATTGATGGTTGAGAAGGGTGTGATAGGGGGTGGATTGGTGGTTGCGAGGGGTTCGACAGGGGGTGGATTGGTGGTTGAGAAGGGTGCGATATGGGGTGGATTGGTGGTTGAGAAGGGTGTGATAGGGGGTGGATTGGTGGTTGAGAGGGGTGCGATAGAGGGTGGATTGATGGCTGAGAGGTGAGTGATAGGGGGTGGATTGGTGGTTGAGAGGAGTGCGACAGGGGGTGGATTGGTGGTTGAGAAGGGTGTGATAGGGGGTAGATTGGTGGTTGAGAGGGGTGTGATAGGGGGTAGATTGGTGATTGAGAGGGGGAGGGGGTGGGTGGGCGGAGTGTATGTAATGTCGGTTGCACTGTTGGGAAAGCGAGGTTTACCTTTGACTGCCGAGTCTTGAAAATTTATTTATGTTGTAGTATTGTAGCTATATTGTGTACATAGTATGAGTGGTAGTTGTACTGTGTGTGTAAGTTATATGGCATGTAGTTTATGGTTGCTATGTGTATATAGTTGATCGGTTCAGGTGGACTCCAGGTGTATACAGCGGCCATTCAAAAAGTACGTGTGTGCTGTGTATATGGCAGTTGAGTTAGGGGCCATGAGATCTAGTGCGTCAGGTGGGAAACGAGCTATGTGGTGACAGAGGTTCTAAACCCTAAAGCCTTTAAACCCCAGCCTATAATTAGTAACTTGCTATGTGTGACTAGTAGGACAAAACCCTAAACCCCAAAGCTTAAAGCACGTGCGAGTTCTAGCTGTCCTAGCAGTGCATATGCGACATGGTCGCAGAGCACAGTGTGTACTTCGATATGTACCAATTGCATATGCGACATACTCACAGAGCACAGTGTACACTTCGATACGTACCAATTGAATATGCGACATATTCACAGAGCACAGTGTGTACTTTGATATGTACCAATTGCATATGCGACATACTCACAGAGCACAGTGTATACTTCGATACGTACCAATTGAATATGCGACATACTCCCAGAGCACAGTGTGTATTTCGATACGTACCAATTGAATATGCGACATACTCGCATAGCACAGTGTGGACTTCGATGCGTACCAATTGAATATGCGACATGCTCGCAGAGCACAGTGTGTACTTCGATGCGTACCAATTGAATATGCGACATGCTCGCAGAGCACAGTGTGTACTTCGACATGCATAGGTACATACATATCTAGATCGTGCTTAGATCACACGCATTCTCGCGAGACATATGACAGGGATACACATACCTGGTTGGTAAGCAGGTAGGCTTTCTTGCATTGCTTGGTCACCCACACACGCTCCTCGCTATCCGGAGGCGCTGATAGCACTCCATTCGCCATTGCGATCTGGACGAGTCCAACGTATATGAGATACTGCGTTGTATGCGACATGTGCGAAGACAATAACACACACACACACACACACACACACACACAGAGAGAGATGTTAGTTTAAAGTAAGGCAAGGTGAGCAAAAATCAGCACCAGAGTGCCGCAGTCGAGACGATACGAACACCCCCAATACCCGACCGGTATAGCAATGTGCATGAGTATGATAGGTCTGAGGTACTCTCATGGGGTAGTGGGGGTGGGGGGAAACGAACGGATTCGTTCTGTTTGTTCGCCAAAAGCGTTTCGAAGAGAATAGTATGAGGAGGTAGTCCACACTCTGGAAGTTGTTTGTCATTGCAAGCCTGAGAGTGAGTGTCAAGTAGCAACACCGGCACAGACCCAGCGGAACAGTACAGACTCAGTGGGCCAACACAGACCTAATAAACCAACACAGATACAGTTTTCTATTGATGCACCCAACTAAGTCTCACCTCAGCGCAGCACACGCGTACAGTCGCGACTTGTACTACAGAAACAAAGAAATCAAACTGTATGCATATCTGAACACATTGAGGGACTAAGTAGTAAATAAACATGAGCCTCGAGGTTACAGTGAAGGCAACATACCAAGTGTTTGAGGGATTTAGGGTTTAGAGTTTTAGGGTTTAGGGGTTAGATTTAAGGGTTCAGGGTTTTAGCATAATGTGCACACAGCCGATGTGCTGGATAGAACAGCGTAGCATTACGGCAGCTCAAACAACATGGAGTACAATACATAACATATCAACTCATGCTGCATAGAGAATCCTGTGGCTACAACGGTTGTGGGAGGACACGAGAGAATATACTTTACATGACCCACCATCTGCAGACTTCTGACTGCGCTGTCCTTGATTGTCCGCGCAGGCTCCAAAGCATCCTCAAACTAGTTGTGATGTGAACATTGTGATGAAGCAGTTGCAGTGAGTACATTGTGATGTAAACTCTGTGATGAAGCCATTGTGGTGACAACATTGTGATGTGAACATTGTGATGAAGCAGTTGTGGTGAGAACATTGTGATGCAAACTCTGTGATGAAGCCGTTGTTGTGAGTACATTGTGATGTAAACTCTGTGATGAAGCCGTTGTGGTGACAACATTGTGATGTAAATTCTGTGTTGGAGCCGTTGTGGTGAGTACATTGTGATGTAAACTCTGTGATGAAGCCGTTGTGGTGACAACATTGTGATGTAAGCTCTGTGATGAAGACGTTGCGATGTACAATGAGTGTGTGCTCTGGTCGGTGTGGTGTACTTCACATCCGGTGTTGCGTCTCCGCGTGTTTTTGTGGTACGTTACCCTGTGATCCCCTTCGATAGGGGCCTATCAGAACTAAAGCAGGCGTTCATATACATACTTCCAGTGATGCTCCCATACTTGCTGGTCAGAGCGTGCGTGTACATTGTAGATATATTGTGGTGATATGCGTTGAGCATGGTATCCATCCACAGCGCTGTACTCGTGTGGGTCAAGTCTTCACCTCCTGACACACCTATATAGTCTAGCCTGCCACCATACACACCCTACAGCAACAAATGCATCCGCGTAACATCTGCTCACCCATGGGAACCATACCATACAATACCATACAATACCATGCCATACAATCCCATACCATACAATACCATACCATTGCCTTAGCCTCATCCGGCCTATCGGTCTGGTAATAGGTTTCGGCTAACAACACCATAGACTGCACACGGATATCCACATTGTGGCCCAGTGTGCTGCACTTGATCGCCTTCTCACAGTACTCCTCCAACTGACTCGCACCTGACACAGTTGGTGACACAGTTAGTGACACAGTTAGTGACACAGTTAGTGACACAGTTATTAGTGACACAGTTAGTGACACAGTTAGTGACACAGTTGGTGACACAGTTAGTGACATAGTTAGTGACACAGTTGGTGACACAGTTAATGACATAGTTAGTGACACAGTTAGTGACAAAGTTGGTGACACAGTTGGTGACACAGTTGGTGACACAGTTAGTGACACAGTTAGTGACACAGTTAGTGACACAGTTAGTGACACAGTTGGTAGAGGTAGTAGGCACCGGTTGTGAGTTGCAACATCGCCGTTGATTCTACAGCTGGCAGCATGTGAGCGTGTTTTAATCGACATACACATGTCTGTCGACGGGTTCATTATCCCATACTCACAGCATAAACACTACACAGAGAAGCTGCCAACGGCTACATGGGGACCATTTGAGTATGCTTCTAATCTTGGATGCTCACATTCGCCATGAAACTACTATCCAAGAGTGTGTCAGTTGTATAGTTAAAGAGTGTGTCAGTTATATAGTTAAAGAGTGTGTCAGTTATATAGTTAAGGGTGTGTCAGTTATATAGTTAAAGAGTGGTCTAAAGGCTACGTTGTGTATGGGTGTAGTAGTGGTGATGCAGTGCTCCTCACCAATAGTGAAAAGGTACAGATAGACATGTTATAAATACCCAACTACAGCCAGAAGCGAGCATGGGAACACCACTATCTACACAGCCTCAACTTCTACTAGAACACCCCACATTCCCAGTAAGCAAGTTGTGCTATCGGAAACAGTCGTCCTTGCTATCATAGACACCAAGCACCGCAAGTAAGCCAAGTGATCACACCGTTCCGTGTTGTCCTTGCCGAATCCGTATCGCCATCTCCCGCTTCGCCGCTCTTCTGCGCCTCGAACTTCATGCGTATCTTAGTCACTTGGCACAGGTTATAGTACAGCCGACAGCGCTTGTCTGAGATATCGAACGGCTGCATCTCTGAGGTCAACCGATCGACCAGCTGAAGGCATTTGCGGTACGCAACCTCTGCTTTGGAGGCGTCCTGGTTGTCGCGCGATCTGCGGGGGGGGGGGAGGGGGGGGGGCAAAGCAGGTCGTCACAAGGGCGGTTACGATAGTGGAGGTATACCTAAAGTGAGCTCACCCTTGATAGGTAACAACTGACAAACACGCCCCAGCCGTGGGTGTGGTAGGTACTGCCCGACTCATGGGGTGTGCAGCGTCTGTCAGACAAGCCCTTATGAATGTCAACCTATGATTGACACATGTCATGGTAACCACACGGTAGTCAAGCGGGTTAACTGCGAATAGATAACTATATACTGGTCATATGCGTGTCCGAATACTTCAGCTCAATGGAATATGAATCCACCACAGCCATATACAGACATCTCCATTCCCACTCTAGTGCAAGAGCGTGCTTTTTAACAAGCATCCAGAACCCCCGCAGTACTATCACAACCATGCCTCGTACTGCCACAGCGATGTAGTGTGTACAATGTTTCTCTGTCAGTCGCACTCAAAGAGTGTGAAATAAACCACTGCAATAGTCATACCGTGGATATAGCTTATACGGTGTTGGTATAGGTGTAGTACTATACATAATGGTACTGCTAACTCTCTGCAGGGTTGTTGTTGTTGTGTATAAAATGATACATGTTACGCTCGTACTAAGACCCAACCCAACTGTACACACATATGTCTACAGCCCGTTCCATATAGGCATAACCCTTCGCAAGCATACAATCAGACGTAGCACCTCTGGCTCTAGGACCAATGTTAGTAATTCTCAATAACACGTCGCACTGCGGTACATATAAAGATACCTACCTGTCCAGATACACATAAAGATATATCCTACCTGTCCAGGTACACATAAAGATATATCCTACCTGTCCAGGTACATATAAAGATATATCCTACCTGTCCAGGTACATATATAAAGATATATCCTACCTGTCCAGGTACACATAAGATATATCCTACCTGTCCAGGTACACATAAAGATATGTCCTACCTGTCCAGGTACATATAAAGATATATCTTACTTGTCCAGGTACACATAAAGGTATATCCTACCTATCCAGGTACACATTGCCTAAGGTCTGCATGGCCTCCTGTTCCATAGCACGGTTCTTCATCTTCTTCGCCACGCCAAGATACTTCTTGTTGTAGTCAATCGCCTCCTCAAATCTGAGACAACACGTGACACAAATGAGTTCTTGCTAGTGAGCGTGATACAGGCGACCGTCCATACCACGCCAAATGATGTGTATGTGTATGTATGCATGTACGTGTGTATGTGTGTGTATGTGTGTGTGTGTGTATGGCGCAGAGTAGGGCAGACATATGAACAGTGTGTATACAGTCCCTGTGGTGTACCTTCCTGCGTACGCACACATCGAACTGGTTACAGAAGCTAACAACCAGCCCACGCTATTGCCGATAGGTTAGTACGTCACTCACGTGTTTGTACAGCAGTGTGTGGGTGCGTACGCCAAACGTCGGCACTACGAGTGAGTGCGAGATGTTGTACAAGCAGCATCAAGCGAAGTGATGCAATGAGCACATTCATAGTCATCAATACAAGCTGCGCATGTGTACATACACACAGTGATGCTACAGCAGGTCTTATGACTTCGAGTGTAATCCACTACGTAAATTTATAGTCATCGATACACTTTGTGCATGTGTACATATACACAGTGATGCTACAGCAGGTCTTATGACTTCGAGTGTAATCCACTACGTACATTCATAGTCATCGATACAACCCGTGCATGAGAACATATACACAGTGATGCTATAGACTGCAATATACCAACGTATGTAGTATGATGTGTTTTGAATTCATACGAGGTTCGTGGAGTGTACATATAGTATGGATGGATCTGAGCGCCCCACACAAGGAACCTGCACATACACCCCAAACCCTAAACCCAACCCGCCCGTGGCTCTCACGAGGCCCATTCGAGGCAAGGAACAACTTGTTAGTCGTCTGTACTAATGTACACTGTGTGTGAGATCAAGGTATGGTAGTATATAGGTATGTACGTTGTTGTCGGTTACAGCGTGTACAGGCTATGATCTCATACCCGTGGCCAGTGTATTTAAAGCCAGCGCTTGAGTGCGCCTGCTGAGTGGTACGTACTAGGTATGTTGCAAGGGGAGCTGAGGGAGTGAGCTGCACAACTGGAGAGCTATGTGGCGTATTCTACTAACTCAGCTACCAAAGACGGTACTATGGAGGTTGCAGGAAGAAGACAGTGCAATGCAATGGCAGTCTGAAACTCATAGTCTGCTACATACACAGACACACCATATATATATATATATGTCATATGAAAGGTATTGTATGATATATTTGTTCGATGTGTCTGGGCTCAAAAAAGCAAACGCCCACGAAATGATATGCCAATATATACTTCTTAGCCAGTCTGTGCGCTGCAGGCAACGATAGCCAAGCCTCCTCACCTTACATGGTATATACACGTACAGGTATTATATTGGACTACTACATGCACATCGAACAAGGAG